ATTGATTGGCTGCCTCTTGCATGCCCCATGCTGGGGATCGAGCCCCCAACCCGGGCATGTGCCCTGACCAGGAATCGAACCTGGGACACTTCAGTCCGCAGGCCGACGCTCTATCCACTGAGCCAAACCAGCTAGGGCTGTGTAATAGTTTTCAAAAACATTTCTTTTTATTTTCACTGTAGTATGTCCTCCTGTCCAGCTATGCCTACTGTCCCTGTGGGTGGGGCTTACATAGGCCAGTCATTTGAGAGGGGGAAGGAAGATTGCTCAGCCCAATAACCTGGGGGGTGGGATCTGAGAATCGGATTCCTTTTGCAGCCAATACTGGTTGAAAATTGATGCATGTCTGGTAGTCAGAGATGTCTGGTGCACCCAATTTCTAGTCTTTTCCTCTTGTAAATTGACTTGCTTCCTTCGGCCTATAAATGTGAAGGGCGCTGATGTGTTAAATCCCATACTACTGGGCCATCTGCTTTCAATCTCTCAGCATTTAGATATTCCTTGTCCGTTGTCATCTCCTCTTCTGTTTCCGCTATGTGAAGATTTATACGTGGCCCTGACTGGTTTGGCTCAGTGGGTAGAGCGTTGGCCCTCGGACTGAAGGGTCCCGGGTTCGATTCCAGTCAAGGGCACGTACCTCGGTTTCAGATCCCCCTGGCCCTGGTCGGGGCGGGTGAAGGAGGCAACCCATCGCTGTGTCTCTCTCACATCCATGTTTCTCTCTGTCTCTCCCTCTCCCTTCCACTCTCTCTAAAAATCAATGGAAAAAATACGGTTGGGTGCGGATTAACAGAAAAAGGGAAAAGCAGATAGAAGATCTGGAAGTATTTTAAAAAGTCTTTGCCGTCATTTTGCGGGGAGTTTCTGGAGCGATCACAGATGAGCGCCGACATTCAATCTTCTGTGCTTATACCGAAATCCTCCCCATTAAGATCTTACAGGCATTGGAAATTCTATTAGCGGGAGATGGAGTCCTCCATTTCATAATTAGAAAAATCCCAGGGAGACGCAGCGCATTAACTCATCATTATAAATGGCTGTTATGCCTCCCTCTTCTTAATTGACCCCCGATTCGGAATTAATTGCTCCCGTATCCCTGTTATTATCTCCTTTGCGTGTTTGTGGTGTCTGGTTGGCCGGCCTCAGAGCCGGGCTCTGAAGGCGTTGGGATTCTGTGTTGAGGCGCTTCTGCCTGTGAGCGCCCGACGGCACCCATCACGGTGCTGGGTGCGAAGAGGGGGCCTCGCGCTGGCCGCGTCGGTAACGTGGGCTGACGCACAGTCAGAATTAGCGGGAGGACTTTCGGTTGTGGCAGGACTATTTCTCACCGGTGGGCGAGCAATCGGAACCAGATGTGCGCCGCGAGCCCAGCCTCTCCTCCAGGTCTGTTCCAGGAGTTGATTGATGATTGGGTTTCCACGCCGGCACTGGGAGCAGATGGAACCTGTGAGTGATGATACAATAACAGTATTACTTTCGGTTCGTATAGTTCTCTCATTGTTGAAGGTGTTTCCTACCCATCTGTATGTTGTTGTTGTTTTTTTAAAATATGTTTGTATTGATTTTAGAGGGAGAGGAAGGGAGAGGGAGAGAGAGATAGAAATATCCGTGATGAGAGAGAATCATGGATCGGCTGCCTCCTGCACGCCCCCCACTGGGGATCAAGCCCGCAACCCAGGCATGTGCCCTGACCAGGAAGCGAACCCTGACCTCCTGGTCCACTGGTTAACACTCAACCTCTGAGAGATGCTAGCCGGGCTTTTTTCATTTTATTTTTAATGATGACCAGTTACAGGCAATGAGAACACCTATGAAAATCAAAAGGCAGTGGTCCCCCCACACCCCCCCCTTCAACCCCCCGCCCCCTCCCCGTACCTTTGCAATTTCCAGAGGGGAAAAAAATAGCAATGCTTATCTTTATTATTTTTTTTATAAGCAAAGCAGGACTTCAAACTATTTGAAGGATGACTCCCTTTTCAGAAGTTAGAGGCACTGCGTGTCTTGCCAGCCAGTCAGAGCTGTCCATCTGTTTGTCCCCCCCCACGTGGAGGGAGCAGCTGTCGCTTCAGCAGATAATAAGATGGGGCGCGTCTCGCCCTCAGATGCCTGAACAAACCCCGGGGAAGAGGTGCCTTTGGCGGCCTGCGTCTCCGCGTTATTAACACAAAGTGCCAAATGCGTTTGGAGGTTGGACGCACATAAACTCGCTTTACAGGGAAATACTCCAGGTGGGTGCAGCACCTGTTGTCATTATCTGTCGTTGCAGAGACAGAGGAATGGCGGGCACCATGTGCTCACACCGAGATGCTCCCGTAACCATGGCCATGCGTGGAACCCCGAGCGCCCCAAATCCCACGACCCCTGGGTACCACAGGGCTGCCTCCGCCCCTGCACACCCGACAAAATTTACCCCAAACTAGCAGCTCCCCGAGGTCTCACAACAGCCCAGTTTCTCTACAAGTCGTTTTCTCTGATTAAGGGAAGCTCTGGGTGCTCTCGCAACCCAGAGGAGCAGAAGGTAATGTACTTAGATAATCTTAGATCCCAGCTTCCCCTTTTTACTGTTTAATAGCCCAGAATCCAATCAGCAATTTGTATTGGTTATTGCTTTTCAATCTTTGGGATGGATGGATGGATGGATAGTTGGGTAGATGGGAGGATAGGTGGATGGATGATGGATGGATGGATGGATGGATGGATGGATAGTTGGGTGGATGGATGGGTAGGTGGATAGATGGGTGGGTAGATGGATGGATGAATAGATGGATGATAGATGGATGGATGGATGGATGGATGGATAGTTGGGTGGATAAATAGATGGATGGAAGGATAGGTGGATGGATGGATGGATGATGGATGGATGGATGATGGATGGATGGATGATGGATGGATGGATGGAAGGATAGGTGGATGGATGGATGGGTGGATGATGGATGGATGGATGAATAGATGGATGATGGTTGGATGGATGATGGATGGATGGATGAATAGATAGATGATGGATGGATGGATAGATGGATGAATAGATAGATAATAAAAGGATAGGTAGATACATAGATACATAGATAAACCCATTTAAAATGATATTATGAGAACTCTGATGAAGCGGATCTCTGGATGCTATTGCAACAAGAGGAGCAGAATATAATGGCCAGGGGATCAGGGGAAGTTTCTCTGCAGAGCTAACCTCCTCAAGATTGAATAGGCGGGAAGGCATGGAGCTGAGGGGAGTCCTGATACCAGGACCACAGACACGGCTGTTCAGAGGGAGCTGTGAGCCATGTGATGGGGCTGGGGTATGGAAGGACAAGAGCAGCAGGGGGTGGGGGGAGGGGGCGGGGAAGGACTAGAAGATGCAGATGGGATCCTGCCTCTTCCAGTAGGGGGCACCTTCCTCACCCGACCTACTGAGCAAATGGCACCTTACTTAGCAGGCCTGCCAGGAGCCGCCCCTGAGCGTGGGCTGCACCTGCTGGTGACCATGGGCTGGTAGGATGTCCTTACCTGCAGCTTAGCATCTCGGTTTCCTTCCTTCTCTGCACTGCAGTCATCGCTGTCCCCAGCCAGGGGGGGTTGCCTTTGTAAAATAACTCGCCACTTTCCACCGTGCCCATCTCCATCTCCCAGCAGAGGGGAGCGTACGCTCTCGAGCCCATTTCCGGGGCTAATATTCCGTGACGATGTCTTCGGAAGAGAGACTGTGGCTGTCCTGGTAGATGTCAAGCTTGCCCCGTCACCTACAAGGATGGGGAGGAAGCCACGTGATCGGAGAAAGAGGCCTCGTGGTTTTGCAGAGGCAGACAGGCTTGGTCGGGTGTCATGCTTAGTTCCTGGCGATACCATCTTGGGCCATTTTTATTCAGTCCTTTTTAAGCTTCCGTGTCTTCACGGGGGTGCAGTCATATCCACCCGGCAGAGATCAGGGCCCAGCTGGGAACACCATTTCTAAGCCGCCCAGCAGAATCGATGGAGCTCGACTTATCTGTAGAACCGAAGCTCTCAGAGTCAAGAGAAATTCTCAAAATGCGTTTGTTCTCTGTGGATGTACAGAGTGGGGAACTGCAGGTCCTGAGCTTTGTTTTAAACGTTTGATGACCCGCCCCGGCCGGTTTGGCTCAGCGGATCGAGCATTGGCCCCCGGACGGAAGGGTCCCGGGTTCGATTCCGGTCAAGGGCATGCATCTCAATTGCAAACTCCGTCCCTGGCCGCGGTTGGGTTATATGCAGGAGGCAACCAATTGGTGTGTCTCTCTTCGCATCAATGTTTCTCTCTCTCTCTTCCCCTCCCTTCCAGTCTCTCTAAAAATCAATGGAAAATTAGCCTCAGGTGAGGATTAACAAAACAAGCAACTTGATAACCCGGCAACATGGCTCAGTGGTTGAGCCCATGATTCCCGGTCAGGGCACAGGCCTGGGTTGTGGGCTCCATCCCCAGTGTGGGGCGTGCAGGAGGCAGCCCATCCATGATTCTCTCTCATCATCGATGTTTCTATCTGTCTCTCCCTCTCCCTTCCTCTCTGAAATCAATGAAAAATATATTTAAAAATAAAAACTTTGGCCTTAGCTGCTTTGGCTTAGTGGCTAGCCGCTAGAGTGTCAGCCTGTAGACTGATGGGTCCGGGTTCGATTCCCGGCCGGGGCACATTCCCGGGTTGCGGGCTCGATGCCCAATAGGGGGCGTGCAGGAGGCAGCCGATCCGTGATTCTCTCTCAAAACAGATGTTTCTCTCCCTCCCTCCCTCCCCTTCCTCTCTGACATCAATAAAAATATATTTTAAACAGATGTGATGACCCAATACCCAGTTAAACAGGGTGCCCGGGCCTTCTGTGGGCCGTGAGGGTAATCAGGACACTTCCGGAATTCGAAGGACCTTCTGCAATGGATGGCAACTGGGCAGGAGCCCGAGGGAAGCTGGCTTCCTCGGTTTAATTGCGGGCCTTGTTGACGGTAATTTTTTCAAGTGATTTTCTCCTAAATGCGTCTTTGTTTGTCCCCGCAGTCACAGATGCTCCCTGCGGGGGGAGGACTTGAACCGGCAGTGGCTGGCGCCCAGCGCGCAGCTCCAGCCAACCATCTACCACGCCAAGGGCCTGCTCTACTACCTGCACAGCGCCGGCCGCAGCCCCGTGGTGAGTTCTCCGCCTCCGTGTTCTAGGCGGCCTCCCTCCGCCTCCCGGGAGGCCCCCTGCTTTCTGTGACGGCAGGGGTGGGGGACGTCCGGCCCACGGGCCGGATAAGGCCCGAGAAAGCATTTGGTCAGGGGCGAGTTCATTGAATGTGGACCAAACACAGCAGGCTAGTTTTTCGGTTGATAAATGTGTGCGGCCTGTGAATGGTGTTAGAATTACCCAAATGGCCCGGCCGGTGTGGCTCAGTGGTTGAGCGTCAGCCTAGAGACCAGGAAGTCCCTGGTTCCATTCAGGTCAGAGCATATGCCCGGGTTATGGGCTCGATTCCCAATAGGGGGCGTGCAGGAGGCAGCCGATCAGTCATTCTCTCTCATTGATGTTTCTCTCTCTCTTCCTCTCTCTCTGAAATCAATAGAAACATATATTTAAGTAAATAAATATTCAGATGGCCCTTGGCCGGAAAAAAAGTTCCCCACTCCCTGTGTTAAGGCAAGAAAACCAGACACAAGCCGAAGAAGTGTGCATGCCATGCTGGAATAGGGGCCGAAGTCACCTCCTAGGGCTGCCATGACAATGCACCCCTTAGAGCAACAGGAATACACTCTCTGGCATTTCAGAGCCTAGAAGTCTGAAATTAAAGGTGTCAGCAGACCACGACCTCGCTGAAGGATCCAGGAAAGAACGCTTTGTTGCTGCTGCTTCCTGTGTCTGTGTACCAATGTTCCTTCTCTTTTCTCACTTTTTAATTTTTTAAAAAATGTATTGATTAATTTGAGAGAGAGAGGCATAGACATCAATTTGGTGTCCCGCTTCGTTATGCATCCATTGGTTGAGTTTTGTGTTGCAAAGAGAGCAAGGCATATCTTTCCCCCTTTGGAATCCTTGTTCAGCCCTGGCCAGGGCTCAGTGGTTAGAGCGTCAGCTGGTGAACCACAGAGTCGTGGGTTCAATTCCCTGCCAAGGGCACGTACCTTGGTTGCAGGTTCCCTTAACCCCGTAGGGACACATGCAGAAGGCAGCCAATCGATGTCTCTCTCTCTCTCTCTCTCCCCCTCTTCCCTCCCTTCCACTCTCTCTAGAAATCAATGGGAAAAATATCCTTGGGTGAGGATTAACAAAACAAAACAAAAAAGAGCCTGACCAGCATGGCTTAGTGGTTGAGCATCGACCTGTGAACCAAGAGGTCATTGTTCAATTCAATTCCCAGTCAGGGCACTTGCCCGGGTTTCGAGCTCAATCCCCAGTAGCGGGTGTGCAGGAGGCAGCCAATCCATGATTCTCTCTCATCATTGATGTTTCTGTAGCTCTCTCCTCCCTTCCTCCCTGAAATCAGTAAAAATATATATATTAAATATACATATACATATACATATACATATACATATACATATATATATGAAGAACCCTTGTTCCATTCCATCCTTGTCAAATTGTGCAATATTTCATGTCGCCCTCCCCCTCCCGTCCGAGGAGCCATGTGGTCCAGGCTGTCTCCCCTCCAGAGGCAAGTCCAGGGCCGAGGCCTGGGACAGGTGTGCTCAGGGCTAGGCAGCCTCGGCCGCTGGGACGAGAGAGAGGTTTCCAGGGAAGGAGGCCCCCACCTGACATCCAGTTAGACACACACCCTCCGCTCCTCACAGACAGGGCGCCTCTCTGCTCCGACAGCCTCTCACGGAGGAGCAGAGCGTCTGCTGTACAGCGCGGCAGGCGGGAGTCTCGTTTATAAACATAAAGTACACGTTAATTAACTGTCAACATGACGGCCGCCGGCGGGCTTCCTCCGGGGACCATCTGAGAGGTGGTGAGACACCGCCGGGCGTTCCGTGCTGCTCGCATTGTTCTCCGCTGGGCTCAGCGGCACCTCCCGGTTACCTGCGAGGCTGTATTTAACTGCTTCCCGATGACGGCCGGCCGCACACCCCCATTCACTCAGTGCCTGGAAGATTCCCACTGCGTCAACGCTGAGCCCTGGCCGGTGTGGCTCAGTGGAAAGAGCGTCGGCCTGCAGACCGAAGGGTCCCAGGTTCCATTCAGGTCAAGGGCACATGCCAGGGTTCCTGCTGGATCCCCAGGAGGGGGCGTGCAGGAGGCAGCCAATCGCTGATTCTCTCTTCTCCTCATTGATGTTTCTATTTCCTCTCTCCCTTTCCCTTCCTCTCTGAAGTCAATAAAAATATATAATAATAAAAAAATATCCTCGGGTGAGAATTAACAAAACAAACAAGCAAAAAAGCTGGCTCTAGGGCTGCCTGGCAGGGGATGAACGGTGCCTCTGACGGATGCAAATATTCCTGAAGCGTTGGGAGGCCACGTCGGGTAGCCTGGGGTTCCACCTGGTCTAGATGGTACTCAGGCGTGTCCCCCTTGGCGGGTAATATCACAGGAACTCCCAGGACCGATGGGACTGTGAGACAGTGAAAGAAAGCAGGACAAGAAAGTAGGGGGTGTGCAGGAGGCGGCCAATCCATGATTCTCTCTCATCATTGATGTTTCTGTAGCTCTCTCCTCCCTGATGGGGTTGCCAAGGGCCAGACAAGTCATTCAGTTTATGAGCAATATGGCATTTGTCACATATTCTTTCATCCAACCATCCACCCACCCACCCATCCATCCATCCATCCATCCATCCATCACGAGAGAGGGAGAGAGAGATAGAAACACCAATGATGAGAGAGAATCATGGATCGGCTGCCTCCTGCACGCCCCCTTACTGGGGACGGAGCCCGCAACCCCAGGCATGTGCCCCGTCCTAGAATCGAACCCTGACCTCCTGGTTCATAGGTCCACGCTCAACCACTGAGCCACACCAGCCGGCCTTCAGCCTTGACTGCATGTGGGTGCGCTGGCCGCGTCTGCAGGGGTCTGCAGGGCCTTGGGGAGCCTCGCTTGGTTTAATTGGAGGCCTGGCGTCTGCTGCCTCAAGTTTCTAACACATTCCCCGGAATTCGCCTCATCCCAGCTCCAGCCTGGCCGCCCTCATTTTCCTGTGGCGGTGGCATAAATAATGCAGATGCTTTCAGCCCAGCAGCAGGAACTAGACCCAGATGTCAGGGGTGGGGAACGCAGCCGCTTCAAGCTGGGGGGTTGAGCGGTGAACAGGGGCGGGGGGAGCCCTGCGGATCAGCACAGCCAGGGGAGGGGTGTGTGTGGGAAGGAGGGGGGGAACCTCTTGAAAAAGGGGTCCCGTTAGCTCACAGGGTAACGGGAATGAGCCCCAGGAATGGGGGTGGGGAAGAGACGGGCAGGCATGTGGAGAGCATAGCAATAGGGCTGTGCCCAGCCTGGGCTGAGGGGGAAGGGACGGAGCTCACGTTTGCACGAATGAAATTAACCTTGGATTTGGCTCCGACAAGAATTCACCAGGAAGGGTGGGGGCGGGGGGATGTGTTACAGCCCGATTTCAGAATGGCGGTCCAGTCCACGCCGTTGTACGCGTTTGCCAAGAAAGACACGGACACAGGGGAAGCAGGGTGGCCTGGGCGGGGGGCGGGGGGCGGTCAAACCTCACCACGCCAGCTGAGGACAACAGAAGTGAAACGGAGGTTTTCAATCCGCTGCTTCCTGTGCTCCGTGCCTTGGGGGGGAACCACAATCATATTGTTTATTCGCTTAATCCGGAAATTCCGGTGTTGGACCTCACCTGGAGCCCCTGAATCTACTTAGTCTCTGATGCTTATAGAATTAACTTCCTTACTCCCTCAGCAAAGGTCCTTTTTTTTTATATATAAATACATTTTTATTGATTTTTAGAGAGAGAGAGAAGAAGGGAGACAGAGGGAGAGAGAGAGAGAGAGCAAAACATCGGTGAGAGAGAAACATCATTGATTGGCTGCCTCCTGCAGGCCCCCCACACAGGGGATGGAGCCTGCAACCCGGGCATGTGCCCTTGACCGGGAATCGGACCTGCAGCGGTTCTCAACCTTGGCTGCACATTAGAATCACATGGGAATCTTTTTTTTTTAAATCCTGATTTCTGGGCCTCATCCTCCGGAAATTCTGTTTCTCTGTTACTCATGTCGTGGCCTCACCCCATAACAAAGAAACAGAATTTCCGGAGGATGGGGCCCAGAAATCAGGATTTTAAAAAAAAAGATTCCCAGGTGATTCTCATGTGCAGCCAAAGCTGAGAACCGCTGCAAACCTGGGACCCTTCAGTCCGTGGGTGGGGGCTCTACCTACTGAGCCACACCAGCCAGGGCCGTGTTCCTCCCACTTTATTGCCTTGTTCTGTGGGGCTGCAGGTCCTCAAAGCGGTCTCTGCCTCGTTTTCCTGGAGCGTGGAGAGCTCTCACGCGGAAGCACTCGGCTAGGATAGCCCCCCTGGGGAGCGTCAGGGCCCCCCCTCCCTCCCCGCACCCCACGCCTTCCAGCTGCCATTCAGGTGGAGTGCGCTGTGAATGAGGCTCTTGGGCCTGGGCGACCTGCTCTCTTTGTTTCCAGAGAACCTGTGCTTTTCTCCACCTCCACTCTCCGCTTGCTGCAAAACCATTATTCCTTGACTTGGGGCACCAATTCCAGCCACACCGCTGGGGGCAGAGGCAATAGAGAAATGACAGACGTTTGAAAACATGGATTCCGGATGCGAGCAAACGGGGGTTCAGATATTCACGTACATCCTTAATAGCAGCGCAAACCCCGGCAAGGGGTTGATTTGGTCTGAAATTCAGTTTTTAAAAAAATATATATTTTATTGATTTTTTTTACAGAGAGGAAGGGAGAGGGATAGAGAGTTAGAAACAGCGATGAGAGAGAAACATCGACCAGTTGCCTCCTGCACACTCCCCACTGGGGATGTGCCCGCAACCAAGGTACATGCCCTTGACCAGAATCGAACCTGGGACCCTTCAGTCCGCAGGCCGACGCTCTATCCACTGAGCCTAACCGGTTAGGGCTGAAATTCAGTTTTTCTCAGCTACTCAGTGGGGATGCGAGCAGCACCCACTTCTTAATGAGATCATCTATATTAAGTTTTTAGCACAGTCAAGAAAGTATCATAAATCTTCCATTGAGTACTAGGTGTACCGGTTACTAATGCAGATTTTTTCCAGTGGATGGAGTTACACATATGTTGATATATATGCTGTTTTGTTATATGGACAGCAAGCTTCAAAACTTCATATGCCAAATTGGCTGAAGTTGTGAACATCACAGATATTTTTATGCTTAGTACTTCCCAGGCAAGATCTTTTAACATGTCTTTAACTGGTTCTGAAGTGTGTGATGGTGCGTCATCATGAAGGAAAATTACTTTGTCGTGTCTTCTGGCCCATTCTGGCCGTTTTACGATCAAAGCCTGGTTCAAATTGATCATTTCTTGTCGGTAGCGATCAGTATTGACGCTTTTGCCTGTTTTTAGAAGCTCATGATACACCACACCTTCCTGATCCCACCAAACACAGACCATTGTCTTCTTTCTGAAGAGATTTGGCCTTGCAGGCGATGTTGATGGTTGACCTGGATCAGGGGTGGGCAAACTTTTTGACTCGAGGGCCACCATGGGTTCTTAAACTGGACCGGAGGGCCGGAACAAAAGCATGGATGGAGTGTTTGTGTGAACTAATATAAATTCAAAGTAAACATCATGACATAAAAGGGTACGGTCTTTTTTTTTTTTTTTTAGTTTTATTCATTTCAAACGGGCCGGATCGGGCCCGCGGGCCGTAGTTTGCCCACGGCTGGCCTGGATCAACCCATGATTTTGTGCGTTTGGGATTCTCAAAATAAGTCCACTTTTCATCGCCAGTCACAATTCAATGCAAAAAAGACTTTCTCTTGTGCCGTTGAAGCAACATTTTACGGATGACTTTTCGGTTTTCCATTTGTCTTTCGGTCGGTTGATGGGGCACGCATTTTCCTTCCTTTGAAATCGTTCCCATTGCTTGTAAACGGTCGGAAATTGTTTGCTGAGCAACGTTTAATCTTTCTGCAAGTTGTTTTTGATTTTGACACGCATCTTCATCCAATAAATGTTTGTCATTTTTGGTCTGCAAACTTTTTCGGTTGACCTGGACGTTCTTTGTCTTTCACATCGAAATCCTCACTTTAAAAGCGTTTAAACCCGCGTTCAGAAGGATCTTGAGATGGAGCATGTTCACCCTACACTTCCCGAAGTATACGGTAACTTTTTCTTCAAAATAAAGTAATGAATTAAAACTTCCCGCAAATGCTCTTTTTTTTTGGTACGAAATTCGACATTTTTAAGCGTAAAAATATGGTGTTAACACCTTCAGCAAATTTGACATCTGAAGTTTTGAAGCTTGTCAATACAACAAAATAGCATACATATCAAATCACATACATATCAGCATATGTGTAACTCCATCTATTGAAAAAAATCCACATTATTAACCAATACATCTAGTAACTATTGTTGCCAGTAGTATCAAGGGCAGAAATATGTTATATTCCAATTTTAACTTTTTTCTGCCACACACAGGGATACAATAAATATTTGTTGAACTGCCCAGCCAGCATGGCTCAGTGGTTGAGCATCGACCTATGAACCAGGAGGTCACGGTTTGATTCTCTGTCAGGGCACATGCCCAGGTTGCGGGCTCGATCCCCAGTAGGGGGCATGCAGGAGGCAGCCGATCCATGATTCTCTCTCATCATTGATGTTTCTCTCTCTCTCTCTCTCTCTCTCTCTCTCTCTCTCTCTCTCTCTCTCTCTCCCCCCCCTCCCCTTTCCTCTATGAAGTCAATAAAAACTATATTTTTAAAAAAATATTTGTTGAAAAAAAAAATATTTGTTGAACCAGTTGATGAATGAGCCACCTAAGATCACCGGTTCACCTGTAGGTATTGGACTACTCACGTTCGATGTCCCTGGCACAGAATTTCACAGAAAGGAAATATGTGTTCCACCTTCCAGTAGGAAAGAAAAAAAACTTTCTCCCCGGAAATAACTTGGTAATTTGTCTTGTAATTGCCCCCTTCCATGCAGAGGAACACATGTTTGTTATAATTAACAAGCACTTATTTTAGAGAATGTCATCTGATCCGCACGTAGAACAACGTCTCCCTCTCCAGAGGCGGCTAGACCTGCCGGGGCAGAGCTGCGGTCTCTCCCGCGGGCAAATAGGCCTCTCATTTGTCATTTATCTCGGCTCTCAGCGTCCGTGCGGATGGGGAAAAACACACACAAAAACTCTTTTTTTTTTTTTTTTTTTTTTAAATATATTTTATTGATTTTTACAGAGAGGAAGGGAGAGAGATAGAGAGTCAGAAACATCGATGAGAGAGAATCATCGATCAGCTGCCTCCTGCACATCTCCTACTGGGGATATGCCCGCAACCCAGGTACATGCCCTTGACCGGAATCGAACCCGGAACCTCTCAGTCCGCAGGCCGACGCTCTATCCACTAAGCCAAAAAACTCTTTTTTTTCCGTTTGAGTTCAGCCTTAAAGGAGCACCTGTCAGCATATAGGCATAGCTTCCAGCTTCCTGGAGAAATCTGTTGCTAAGAAACAGTCTTGATTTGTTTGCACACTTGTGCTGTGAGTGGTAGGTGTTCAATTCATGGAGAGGAACTTCGGGGTAAGAGAGGAAGGTTGGTGGAGAATTATTCCTCAAACAAATTGTGTGTGTGTGTGTGTGTGGTGTGTGGTTTTTTTATTTTATTTTAGTGATTTCAGAGAGAGGGAGAGAAACATCAATGACGAGAGAGAATCATGGATCGGCTGCCTCCTGCACGCCCCCTACTGGGGATGGAGCCTGCGACCCGGGCATGTGTCCTGACCAGGAATCGAACCGTGACCTCCTGGTTCATAGGTCGACACTCAACCACTGAGCCACGTCGGCCGGGCTCTCATAACTTTAAAAAAAATATATTTTATTGATTTTTCACAGAGAGGAAGGGAGAGGGATAGAGAGTTAGAAACATCGATGAGAGAGAAACATCCATCAGCTGCCTCCTGCACGCCCCCCACTGGCGGTGTGCCCACAACCAAGGTCCGTGCCCTTGACCGGAATTCAACCTGGGACCCTTCAGTCTGCAGGCCGACGCTCTATCCACTGAGCCAAACCGGTCGGGGCTCTCATCATTTTTTTTTAAAAGCTTTTGTTCCTGTTCCCTCTTCTCGTTTTAACCCTGTGTCCTCTCCCACCCCAGTGTATTCCGTCATACCCTCTTCAATGCTAAACCCCTTCCAATCTAACTGTTCCCCCCAGGACTTGACCCGTACAACTCTTACGGACGTCGCCGGTGATGTTAATCTGCCTGGTTCTGCTACCTAAACAGTATCGACCGGAGAAAAGTTGACACGTTAAACCAGGGGTCCTCAAACTTTTTAAACAGGGGGCCAGTTCACTGTCCCTCAGACCGTTGGAGGGCCGGACTATAGTTTTAAAAAAAAAACTATGAACAAATTCCTACACACACTGCACATATCTCATTTTGAAGTAAAAAAACAAAACGGGAACAAATACAATATTTGTATTTGCACGTGGCCCGCGGGCCGTAGTTTGAGGACCCCTGCGTTAAACGTTTAAGACACCAATAGATGTGCCCTGGGTTTACCGCTTCCTTCGCTTGGCCGTTGTAGGTCTTCTGTGACTTCCACGGCCACTCCCAGAAGAAGAACGTGTTTGTCTACGGCTGCAGCATCAAGGAGACCCTGTGGCAGGCGGAGTCCGCCGTGGGCGCACCCGCTGTCTCGGAAGATGTCAGCTACAGGGTAGGTTTGAAGTGGCCTGTCTTTCCTTTTTTAAAAAATATATTTTTATTGATTTCAGAGAGGAAGGGAGAGCGAGAGAGAGAGAGAGAGAGAGAGAGAGAGCTAGAAGCATCAGGGATGAGAGAATCATGGCTCCGTTGCCTCTTGCACGCACCCCCAATGGGGATGGAGCCTGCAACCCTGGCATGTGCCCTTGACCGGAATCGAACCCAGGACCCTTCTGTCTGCCGGCAGATGCTCTATCCACTGAGCCAAACCGGCTAGAGCTGAAGTGGCCTATCTTGATAGAAAGGAAAAAAAAAAAGCTCAAATGAAATCTATACAACAAAAATGTACGAACAGTAGAGAATCAATGCACCCATGTTTGGCTTCTGGAAATAGTTAGCAGACGTGACCACCCTTTAGTTAGATGAAGAAAAGAAGGAAGAACCTCGAAGCCTCCATCGCCTCATCTTTAAAATGACTTTAAAAATGGTGTCCAGCCCTGGCTGGTGTGGCTCTGTGGATAGAGCATCGGCCTGCGGACTGAAGGGTCCCAGGTTCAATTCCGGTCAGGGCACATGCCCAGCTTGCGGGCTCCATCCCCAGCAGGGGGCGTGCGGAAGGCAGCCGATCCATGATTCTCTCTCATCATGGATGTTTCTCTCTCTCTCCCTCTCCCTTCCTCTCTGACATCAATTTAAAAAAAAATAATGTCCATTTCTCAGGGTTGATACAGGATTCGTAGCAGCGTACATTCTGTGTTTGGCTTATTGAGATGCGAAAGAGATGTTGAGACATCAGATTTTACGATGCCTACCCCCAACCACCTGCAGCTCATCGCCATTTATTTATTATTATTATTATTGTTATTATTATTATTATTTTTTTACTGTAGACTCTACCCAGAATCCTGGACCAGCTTGCCCCCGCCTTCACCATGAGCAGCTGCAGTTTCCTGGTGGAGAAATCTCGCGCCTCCACCGCCCGGGTCGTGGTGTGGAGAGAGATGGGGGTGGCCAGGAGCTACACCATGGAGAGTAGCTACTGCGGCTGCAACCAGGGCCCCTACCAGGTAGGTGAGGCCGCGGGGTGCCCACGCTTTCTGCCCCGCAGCAGTGCACTCTAAGGGGGAACTGGGCGGGGGGGCGGGGAGGGGAGGCTCTCTGGCCCCGCTCCCTGATTTTGCAGAACTAGCTCAGGGACTGCTCTCATGGGCATGGATCCTGGAAGCTGTCTGTGCCGATCTCGCTTGTCAGTCCTCTGCCCTGGCCAGCCAGGGGCAGGGAGCCCCCCTGGACACGCACCCCCCAGCTCTTACGGAGCCGCCGCCCCGTCCTGCTCCGGGCGTGGGAACATTTTACAACGAGTAGAGTAGACGGACACGTGCCCTGCGCATCCTCAAGGCGAGGGCGTAGGTCCCTGTGTAGACGTTGCCGATGAAAATACGTGCCGTGTTTCTCTATCATCCGTGCTCATCTCCGTCAGCGGCTCCGTCTGTCATCTTGCCGTCACCAGGGCACCCGGGGCTCCCCGAGGCGAGTGGCCGTGGGACTCAGGCGCTAGTGTGGAGGGAAAGCGCTGGTATCCATCACTCCTCCCTGCAGCTCTATCAGCTGCATGAGCAGCTGGAGACGGGCTGTTCCGCCGCTGTCCCCACCGCCCCGCCAGAGGAGCATAAATAAGGGAACGTCCTGGCAGGATAGACCTTTCTGGAACGTGCTGGGCAAACGGACAGAGGGCTCCTTGCTGACTTCCCTTCTACCCTGAGAAGACCTGGGATTCGCCAGCGTCAAAGCTCCCGGCGTTGGCTCCCACTCCCTTCCTGGGACGGCCCTGGACGGAGACGCTTGGCACCGACACACGCCCGTGCTTGTAGAAATCTGTGAGCTCTCCGGGGGGGGGGGGGGGGGCGGGGTGGGGAGTGACAGGTGATGAAAATGATCTCACTCTGCATCTGGCCAACGAGCGTGTTGGACACGGAGCTACCGATCCGCCCGCCTGGAGCCATTCCTTCGGTGCCACGGCCGGTGAGTCTGACCGGTGGCCCGAAAGGCTTTGCTGTTTGATGAATGAATTGTCCGGCTGAAGTGGGCCACGGAATGAGCCCGTCCTTACCCACAGCCAGGGGGATGCAGGAGAAGAAGGAGGAGGTTGTTGGAGGGGCGTGGGACTGGGTGTCAAAAGACCTCACCCTTCGGCGTCCTGGCGGGGCCTCAAGCGGCTTGCCTCTGTGCCTCCAGCTGGTTCCCATGCCAAAGGCAGAGCTGAGTGTCCTTGGAGGGCACGTGGTCAGGGATCTGTTCACACTCTTGGTATTTAACACCCACAGGGTTGGGGGGGAAATCAGCCTGGAATATTGCGTCTCTAAGACGTTCAGGACATAGACTTGCGTCTCTCTCGCCGGCTGCCTCTCGATGGAAAGGGGCCAGTCACTTGTTTAAAAAACAACGCCATGCCCGGCTGTGGCGTGGCTCAGTGGTTGAGCATCGACCCATGAACCGGGAGGTCACGGTTCGATTCCTGGTCAGGGCACCTGCTCAGTGAGGGCATGCGGGAGGCAGCCGACCCATAATTCTCTCTCATCATTTTTAAAAAAATATATTTTTTTGATTTTTTTTACAGAGAGGAAGGGAGAGGGATAAAGAGTTGGAAACGTCGATCAGCTGCCTCCTGCACACCCCCTACTGGGGATGTGCCCGCAACCAAGGTACATGCCCTTGACCGGAATCGAACCTGGGACCCTTGAGTCCGCAGGCCGATGCTCTATCCACTGAGTCAAACCAGTTAGGGCTATTTTAAAAAATAAAGAAAAGAAATCTCCCCGTATCCGTCGCAGACTCATCGGATCGGAGAACTTTCACCGACTCTATTTCTCCGCGCATCCACTCAGGCTCCGGCTTCCAGCCCCATAAGTGTGAGTGCCCTTCACCCTAAGGCAGCCAGAAACTCACAGTTCCTTTGCCGTCTTGTTTGAGAACGAAATGACTCTTAGGTTCAGGCCCTCACGGACTCTCCGCCTCCCACCCACCCTGCAGGGCGGCTGTGGGGAATGACGGAAAGAGGCTTTTGCCGGAGGGCAAGGCTCAGGGTTGGCCCTGGGACGTTTTTTTTCCGGGTGGAGAAGGGACTGGCTCAAGGGAGCCCTCCTGGTTCAAAACCCGGTTTCGCTTTTCACAGACGCCTTCTCCATATCCAACGCCTCTGCGGGTTGGCTTTCTTCTTCGCTGTGTCTCTCTGTCCTTCCAAACCTTGAGTAACTGAGCAGAACTGCAGACGGGGAGCAAGGCGATGCTGAGTAATTTCACGTTTGCGGGGGGGAGGAGTGGGAGAAGGGAGGGCACCCCATCCGGGAAGGAAGCCAGCCCAGAGCGGGTGTCCGGGTGATGTTTGCCGGAGGGATGGAGTGGGTCTAGGAGCGCTCAGGCCCTGCGGGAATTTCCTTCCTGCCCATATTGGAAACGACTTTCCTACGTGGAGACGCGGGGTCCCGGCCGGGTCCTGTGTTTATTATCCTGAAGTCATCTTTCCCTTCTTTGGTTAGCGTCGCCTTGCATCCAAAATCCGGAGGACACGGAACGGCCCCCGCGAGGTATAGTTATATTTATATGCTTCCTTCATACGCGTGTACGGATTTTTGCCGTTTCTCGGTTAACAGGCTTTCAGGTGGTTCCAGTCCTTTCTCCCCCCCAGCGCACGGAAGTGCCTGACCTGTGAGGATGGAAAGGGGATACCGTTTCGTCCAGTGACGTTTATGTTGGAACGGCATCCGGGCACAGAAGCTGTCACCTTCCAGTAATTATTACGCAGAGATTTTCTCTTCCATTTTCCAGTCCCGTGGTCGGCAGACGGCGGCTCGCGAGCCACACGCGGCTCTTTGGCCCCTTGAGTGTGGCTCTTCCACAAAATACCACGTGCGGGCACACACGTACAGTGCGACCGAAACTTCGTGGCCCATGCGCAGAAGTCGGTATTTTGTGGAAGAGCCGCACTCAAGGGGCCAAAGAGCCGCGTGTGGCTCGCGAGCCGCGGTTTGCCGACCACCGTTCCAGTCTGTAGTTGGCTAATTTAAGAATTTTTTTTTCCTCCTGCTTTTGCTTTTTTGGGGGGATGGTCTCCCCTGCCGGGTTCTATACTTAGATCCATCGTTTGTGTTTGCTGTGAAGAGAGGTTTACTTGAGCTTTTGGGGACGGACCCAAAGCTACGGATGGCAGAGAACACGGAATGATGTATTTTTGGGGGGCTCACTTTTCAGGGGCGTCCAGTCCGTGCGGACAGCCGTGTGCCTCACTCACCGAGCGCGTGTGATCCCGGGTCACGTGCGTGGTGTGTTTGCACACACAAAGGCGTGCGTCTGGCCACCCCCCCACCCCCCTCGCCGGGGGGCTGCGCGTGGCTTGGAAGGATAATGTGAGTGACCCCCAGCCCACGAGGCTGCCGACATGCTTACGGCAACGCTGCTCACGCGTGGGACGGCAGAGCGGGTCCCTGCCCGAGGGCGACAGGAGGCCGGGACTCAGCGGACGCCCAACCACTGAGCCACACCGGCCGGGCTGCGCCAACATTTCCACGCTGGATGCGTGTCTCTCTCCTCCCCCCCCCACACACTCATATTCTCTACCACCTTCCCTTCCCCGGGGTTTAGAAAGTGGGACGCTCTCACAAAGCTTGTCTTCTCGTCGAAATGTCACTCCATTTCTTCGTAGACGCAAAAATGAAATCCAGGTGCTGATGTGTCCCTGTAGTGTGAGCCACTCTCGTACCCGTCCAGGTCAATCCCCTTCCCTTCCTTGTTGTGGCCTAACAAGTTATTTAATTTAATTTAATTTATTTTATTATTTTATTCTATTTATTTATTATTTTATTTTATTATTTAATTATTTTATTTTATTTATTTTATTATTTTATTCTATTTTATTTTTATTTAATTTATTTTATTATTTTATTCTATTTTATTTTTTAAATTTATTTTATTATTTTATTTTTTAATTTAATTTATTTTATTCTATTCTATTTTATTTTATTTTACTTATTATTTTATTTTTTATTTATTTAATTTAATTTATTTAATTATTTTATATTTTATTTTATTCTATTTTATTTTATTCTATTCTATTCTATTTATTTTATTTTATTATTCTATTCTATTCTCTTTGTATGATTTCAAAGCACATGATGAGCCCCTGAGTAACTCACTGCGGACATAATGGGCTGCTGAAATACGGTCTTCCCTCTGCAGCCCGCAATCCCATAATGTCCGCCAGCATTATGATGGGCTATTAGAGGGAACTACATAGAAACCGGGAGGCAGAGATGTCCTAAGGCTGCCAGCCGGGGCCTTGACCGAGAGGGCTATAGCTTGGGCAGCTGTGAATTTTATTTTATTATTATTATTTTTTAATCCTCACCCGAGGATATTTTTTCCCCATTGATTTTTAGAGAGAGTGGAAGGGAGAGGGAGAGACAGAGAGAAACACAGATGTGAGAGAGACACATCCATTGGTTGCCTCCTGCGTGTGCCCCCAACCGGGACCAGGGGCCTGCAACCAAAGGTATGTGCCCTTGACTGGAATCGAACCCAGGACCCTTCAGTCTGCAGGCCGACACGCTATCCACTGCGCCAAACCGGCCAGGGCTTGTTCTCTCTCTCTTTGAAACGGAGTGAACCCCACACCACAGACCCCAGTCCCTTCCTTGACCGTGAGGAGTGGGCGATGGTTCCATTCCTCCAGCCAATGTATTTTTGTAAAAGTATATTTTTATTGATTTCAAAGAGGAAGGGAGAGAGAGATAGAAACATCAATGAGGATCATGGATGGGCTGCCTCCTGCACGCCCCCTACTGGGGATCGAGCCCACAACCCGGGCACCTGCCCTGACCGGGAATCGAACCCGTGACCTCCTGGTCCATAAGTTGGTCAACGCTCAACCCCTGAGCTATGCTGGCCGGGTTCCAGTCGGTGGTTTAATATTCTCTGCCATGCCTGCACTCCAGTGGAGCAGCCTCCCAGGCTTCTATTTTTAAAACGAAGCGGCAATTCCCTCTCTATGTCCGCGCTCCCTGAATGTAAATGA